CATACATACAACAACACTATTTGGACAATGCATAATATAAAAAACAAGCTATAGATCAACTGAAGGTAGATCAGAACAGAACAGAATTTTATTTCAGTTCTAGGTCTCCGGTCAAAAATACATATACATAACTTGTTGGGTAATTAGAGCACATATAATGTATTTCATTTCGATTTGTGTTTCTTGTCAACATAGTATAAAAATAGACATACATCCTTGATGATATTGACATTTTTACTCTGTAATATAGATACAAAATTAATAATTGATGGTTATTTACTAAAATATTTTGATATGTACTTATTTCTGATATGAGAATATGCATCACAGATATAAAACACATGCCATTCATCTTCAACAACGATGATACCATTTAATTTACAAAACAGGCAATGCCTTTCATTATATACAACATCAATGTATCTACCACTTTCAACTGCTAGTTTAAAATTACAACTCCGAAATCGGGCATATATAGTTATGTAAATATTGAGGGATTTCATTATTTATCAAGTAGCTCTCTACATTTAAAAAAGATTTGAATTGCTTACAGTAAAAACATTTATGGCTGCTATCCAAACATGATTGCCAACATTGGAACAAACTATCATGTAATCTCTGTTTAAATGATTCAATGAATAATTTGTGATCACTAATTTCCTGGCTTATCCAGACAAATCCAAAAACAAATTGAAAAAGAATATTTTTACTTTTAGTTGCCCATGTATTTCGTCCTAAAAGATAATAACATAAAATAACATTATTTTGGTAATCTATAGTCAGGCATGTTTAGAAGTCTACACTAGTATTTCACAGTATTGGTTGTATAAATACACTGTAAAGGCACTCTTCCATATTCACCAAGGCCATATTGTTACAGGTGGATTTACAAGTTTCAAACATATTTACAAAATTAAATATGGACAGATTCAATAGTATTACAGTAGGATGTGTCCCATATTTCAGACCCATTACATAGGATAGGTGATATCAAACAATAAAAAACCTTAAATAAATCTGTACAATTAACACTGCCAAGTTTCCTTTGGAAAGTTTTAACGGAGAATATTGCCTTATTACCTTGTGATGCGAGACAAGATGTAACTTTACTCCAGGATAATTTAGGAGTAAACATAATCCCAAGGTACTTGCAAAATGATACAGTGCCATTATAAAACTAATTTTCATATGAGCGCAATGGACCACCATTTCTAAACACAATAATCTTGGTTTTCTTTAAATTCACTCTCATACCAGTTTGCTCACAAAATTTACCAAGTACATTAATCTTTTTTCGCAACTGTGCACAAGTGTCAGCTATAACTGAAACATCATCAGCAAACATAGCGGTTATAAGGAATTTACCTCTTATACCAGCTTCCTAGGGTAACCTTAAGAGAACATCATGCCTTAGGGTATCAAAAGCCTTGGTAAAGTCTACAAAGAGACAATAAAATCTACTTCTTTGCTAATATATTTTTGAATTAAACGTACGACAGAGTTCTGCAAGTTTCATACCATAATTAATATACTGTACATATTTTGAGTTCCTTGGGGTCTAAACGTATCACCTGGATAATCATCTGTATCATAAACATATTCATTAGTATCATCTGGAATATAATCAAGGAAGTCCTTCATTCTTGCATTCAGCTCACCTCCTAGAATTATATGGACAGTTGGATAATCTGATCTAACTCTATGGAAGTAATCTTCCAGTTGAGAAATACCATCACAGTCAACATTACCATATATAGTTATCAGGTGAAACGTGTGGAAACAAGAGAATTATATCACGGTTCAACTTCAAGCGAGATGTAAAAACCAATAATGTCATAGGAAGCACAGTCACACACATCACACTTGTCAAAACACACATCACACTTTTCAACACATACATCACACCTGTCAACACACACATCACACCTGTCAACACATACATCACACCTGTCAACACACATATCACACCTGTCAACACACACATCACACTTGTCAACACATACATCACACCTGTCAACACACACATCACACTTGTCAACACATACATCACACCTGTCAACACATACATCACACCTGTCAACACACACATCACACCTGACCGCCTCCGTGGTGTAGTGGTTAGAGCGTCCGCCCGGAGAGCGGAAGGTCGCGGGTTCGATCCCCGAACACGTCATACCAAAAGACGTTAAAATATGGTACTTGTTGGTCCCTGCCTGGCGCTCGGCAGTAATGGGTACAACAAGGACTGGTCGGCTTGGAGTCAGTATAATGTGTGTGAGTGGGGTATTCATGCTTCACTGCGGCACGGTATCTCAGTGGGCTAGGACTATAAAACCAGCTTCAGTCTGGGCTAGTACAAGCAGCCGCACATACACATACACACGCATGCACGTCGTCATATGAGCGAAATATCCTCAAGCACGACGTTAAACCAAACTTCACCTCACCTCACACATCACCCCTGTCAAAACACACATTACATTTGTCAACACACACATCACACTTGCCAACACGCATCACACATGTCAACACACATCTTTCTGTACAAGAGCTATTGAGCTACCAAAACAATACCTTGGACTTTATAATTCTATACAGATACACATAAACATGAGTCGTAATGATATTTGCTGCCATGGAAACGGAATATTGGAAGGTCCCAAGTAGTAAAAGGAACTAGTTTAAAACATGTTCTTTGTGCACAACCCCATGAAAGAAGACCTATTAGTTTTAGAGATATGGTCCAGACAACACAGGATTATGAACAGAGTTAAAGTCAAACTAGATGCCATGGAAACATCAAACAGTTCCTCAATAGCAAAAAGGTGCAATTGGGCCTTTATAAAATATATGTGCCGAGTTTTGATAAAAAGTACTTGTATGAAATTTTATTTTGTTCGAATAACGCTACGCCCCCTGTTTACTTTTTATATTTCTAACGTGAAGTACAATAGAAAATATACAGTTACTTCCCTTCCCCTTGAGCACATGTTGTGGGAGTTTTGAAACTCGGCTTTGAACACTGGCTCTCTCCATTAATAAAACGGCAAGAAATTAAGAATAATACCGCGTATTTTTAAGAAGAAGCTGCGCTGCTAGTGCAGTATTACCTAGATGTTACTAATTAAAATCTGAACCCATATTGCTTCTAAGTCAGTGATGTCTAAGTTATTAACATGTTTGAAATACAAGTTATTTCTAACGTAGATAGCGACCCCTCCTGTCGTTGTGGGTCTATCCTCTCTGACAGGTGGGTGATATCCTGGAAATAATATGTCCTTGTTTGGTATACTTGCATTCAGCCAAGTTTCAGTTATACATATGACGTCAAAATTGTGAAACTCGGTGGTTACCAGATCAATCCTTACCCTTAGACTACGATTTTTTAGGTGAATAATGCTAAGAATATTTGTGTCAGGCCCAGGATTTGGATTAATATCTCCACAGCATAATAGTAAAATCGCGCTTGATAAGAAGGTACGAGTCCCCAAAGTCAAACATACAACGATGCAAAAGCAAGTGAATTTATCTTATCCTGGTGATGTTGAATAGGTTGATTCAAAATGCCCAACTGCCCTCCGGTACTGACAAATATCAACACACACTACGTAACAAATGCTGAATATAACATAAGCCAGAGAACATGGACAGAGTGTGGACAGATGAGACATATTTGTAGATTAGTATCTGAGAATTGATATCGATACATGAGTTTGCGAGCGCAAGTTGATGTACTGAGTTTCTGAACAGATGAAGTTTGTTTGAAACAACACTTGGTCTCCAAACGTGATAAACAGAAAGAAAAAGGAAAAAAAGGTTAAAAAAAACACAGCCGTTGCACGGCATATTAGAACCACTAGGGGAAGAAATAAATACGAGATACCTAGGACGTACGAAAAAATACACTACATGGATACAGACAAATCAAAGTAAAACAATATACCTGAGGGTCCCATCCTTGAGTGTTACGAGGACTACCCCACAGTATTACCTTAAAGTTATCTCACGAACAGTACTGAGTAATTTCTAGTTCTGCTCAGGAAACGACATCAACCTCCTTTTCATTTAAGTCTTAGTTGCTTCCGTGGAAAAAGGAGGGGAAATGTAACTTCCCGAACTAGCAAAAAGCACCACTTCGTTATCTGTTTGAAACGCCTGCCATGTTTTCATATCAAGTGGTGCTCCGGAAATGAAATGATTATGGATGGGCGGACGGACGGACGGGCAGACGGAAAGACGAAGTGTCGACTACATCCAACTGCATTATATGCTGGTGGGGGGATAATAACTCACTATTTATGTTTACTTTGAGAAAAGTTGTATTTTGGTGTAATACGTATAATTATCGTACCTTCATGTGAAATACTTTAATTTCATTGGTCAGTGACGCTTTAACAAGTTTCCGTGTCACCCCTGCCAGCAGTTTTAAGCTGGACAGAATATGTGTCACTGATTTTAAAAATCCAGTCGAGAGACAGACGCCATTTTGTTGAGGTTGACTACAGTCATATAGTCGGTAGCGATCTTTAAAATAAAATAAAATGATATTTTGTACATTCAACATGGCGGTAAGATAAATACGTTGTATGCTTTTCCCTCACGTAATACGGTCTGATGTACGCCTTTTTGTAGCAGTGTCATCCCTCGCCTACCGGCTCGAGTGACACTGCTCCAAAGAGGCGTACATCAGACCGTATTACCCTCGAGAAAAGCATACAATTTATAAGATATTATTTTATATAATAGTCAATATCGATGACGTCATTCATTTCATTTTGTTGGGAGCCGTGTTAAAATAAGCTGTAAAGCTTGTTCACCAATTCCAATTCATTCTAATGGATAAAAATATGTTTAAACCAACACGATATCATCAATGTCTGTTACACATACCTGCGCGTCACTAAAGTAGATTGTCACATTCAGCTAACATATCATTATGCATGACATAAACCCACAAGTTGCACTTATCTCACTGGACAGCCCCGAGAAACCAGAAAGTTTTACAGGCGACGATATGACGATGTGTTAACATATGTCGTCATCATGGCTGCTGTTACCCCGTCCTTGTTCCTGTCTTTAAGGTTGACCATGTTCTCTCTGATGACGTGCTTCACTATCTCCAAATGTCCACCCAAAGAGGAATAATGAAGGACGTTGTTGCCGTCATCATCAGCTTGTGACACATTAGCTCCCTTTCTGACGAGGAACTCAAACACGACTCTGTGGCCTCTGAATGCAGCTTTCATCAACGGGGTCTCACCGCCTTGTCCCCTACTGTTAATATCAAGACTGCATAGAGAAAGTAGATACTTCACCACATCCAGATGTCCGCTCTGGCAGCCCCAGTGCAGGGCGTTGTAGGCGTCATCATCAACTTGTGACACATTAGCTCCCATACACACGAGGAACTCACAAACGTCTCTGTGTCCCCGCCATGCAGCCTGCAGAAGTGGTGGCCTGTACCCATTCTTAATCTCAACACCATATTGTGGGAGTAAACACTCCTCCATACCCACATGTCCACCCTTGCAGGCCCATTGAAGCATGTTCTTACCATCATTATCCACTTGTGACATGTTAGCACCTTTACTAATAAGACAAGACAATATTCTGCAGTGTCCCTCCTGTGCTGCCACCATTAGTGGTGTTTTTCCGTGATTCCCATCTCTACTGTTGATGTCGACCAAACCCCGGGACAGGATGCGTCTCACTCGAGTCAGGTTTCCCTTCCTGCAGGCCTCGTGAAGTGGACTGCTCGCAAATGTTTCCTCCTTGGCACCTATGTGTTTCGGAGTCTTCTGGTAGTTCTGCTTCTCTGTGGATAGGATATGATAATGACACAATGACGTCAATTTGTTAGCATTATTCACTGTAGTTAGTAGGCAATAGAATAAAACCTGTGTTACCACTTTTGCATAATGTGTCAGAGAGAGCAATTTGTATGCAGTCGTCGGATTTGAATTGAGCCAAGAAGTTACAATCTGACATGAAGGCTTTGTAGAGTAAAGGACTGGACGCCGTGGCACATCATCACTACTCCACTTTATTCTGGGCCAACCCGTGAAGATCCGGGTTAGAATTGATCTTCAGTATCCAATGCTTGTCGTAAGAGACGACTAACGGGATCGGGTGGTCAGCGCGTTACTTGGTAGACACATGTCATCGTATCCCAATTGCGTAGATCGATGTTCATGCTGTTGATCACTGGATTGCCTCGCCCATATTCGATTATTTACAGACCGCCGCCATATAGCTGGAATAGCGCTAAGTGCAGCGTAAAACTTATATCACTATTCTGGGCAATAATATTAGCTAGAACTAAAGTAAGCATCAACTCATTAACGTCAACTGGAAATTGGAAGTTCCCATGCAAAGTCTACCTTTTACACCTGATGAATATTCCTCGTAGTGCAATTGATTCAGAGCAATGGCACTGGTGGTTTTAGATTTTTGAAGCCATTAACTATTATCATAACAAATGATTTCTTGTGTTATGGACGCTTAGGGGCTTGTCTCTACATCAGGGGAATCTTGTGTGTGTGTATACTATATGCAGCTTCAGACATTTGAATAATATAACTGCATATTGAGCAAGCCTGCTTACGCATTACACAATATGACCCGTAGACGGTGTTCTAAGATTTTCAGAAGTAAGGGTTTATTGGCAAGTAACACTTTTCTACTGTCCTTCCCACATCCATAAGAAATCCCTGCAAATTCCTGATTTTAGATGTTTGAAACCGTTAACTATTATCATTATGAATGATTTCTGGTGTTACAGTCGCTTAAGGGCTTGTCCCTACACCAGCGCCATTTTTAAAATTATGATTGACTGACTGAGTTTTGGTTTTACGCCGCTTTTAGCAATATTCCAGCAACATCACGGCGGGGGACACCAGAAATGGGCTTCACACATTGTACCCATGTGGGGATTCGAACCCGGGTCTTCGGCGTGACGAGCCAACGCTTTAACCACTAGGCTACCCCACCGCCCCTCAAAATTATTGAATAATATAACTGCATTTTCAGCAAAGTCTGCATACTCAATACACAATATGACTATGTAACCGGTAGACGGTGTTCAAAGATTTTCAGAGGCAAGGGTTGACTGATAAGTAACACTTTCGTGCTGTCCTTTCCACATCCATAAGAAATCTCTGGGAAAAGCAGAGTCGAGTGTACAGTTGTGGATATATCATGAACATTTCGTGAGTCGATTGCATTGTTGCGACTGAGCATGTATTTATGATTTATACCAGGTGTTTGCAAAAAGGTGAGCCGATCCTGCCCATACTGATATCCACCCGTCAAAACATATTGAAAGGGTCGTTCTAAAATATTCCGGATCATTCGAGATACAAATCTAAATGGGGTATTGCATCGGACATAATCTTGGTCACTTCTGCGTGAATGTTTTAAAATGTATACCACAAAACGTTTCCTTGAAAGCTTTTCTGATCCCATCTATGTTGTAACCTGGACATCAGCATGTTAGATATTTTTTCAGTGCAATTCAGATCGCATGTGCTGTATGGTGGAGTTTCATGATTTCCGTTGCTTGTACTAGCCCAGACTGAAGCTGGTTTTATAGTGCTAGCCCACTGAGATACCATGCCGCAGTGAAGCATGAATACCCCACTCAGATACATTATACTGACTCCGAGCCGACCAGTCCTTGTTGTACCCATTAATGCCGAGCGCCAGGCAGGGACCAACAAGTACCATATTTTAACGTCTTTTGGTATGACGCGGACGGGGAACTATAAATCTTTGGACCAACTTTACGAAGCTTGGAACACCAGTACAAATGTATTTGATATTTCATGTCCTAGTGTGGATTGTAGATCGAGTCCAATTGGATTACAGATTAAAGGTGAACATATAGCCAGCGTCGGTATGAGGAGTAAGTTGCAGTTGTAACTCCCTGTATGTAGCTTTCTTCTCAGGTGTATTGTGAACATTCAGATCCCTGTATGTAGCGTTCGTATTAGGTATTTAGTGGACTTGCAGCTCCCTATATTAAACGTTCGCCTCAGGTGTTAAGTGGACTTGCAGCTCCCTATATTAAACGTTTGTCTCAGGTGTTAAGTGGACTTGCAGCTCCCTATATTAAACCTTTGTCTCAGGTGTTAAGTGGAATTGCAGCGCCCTATATTAAACGTTTCTCTCAGGTGTTAAGTGGACTTGCAGCATCCTATATTAAACGTTTCTCTCAGGTGTTAAGTGGACTTGCAGCTCCCTATATTAAACGTTTCTCTCAGGTGTTAAGTGGACTTGCAGCTCCCTGTATTAAACGTTCGCCTCAGGTGTTAACTGGACTTGCAGCTCCCTATAGACAATTCTTAATGAGGCCTCATGAATATTCATATCTGTACCAAAACGAGGCTAAATTGGGCAAGGACACAATCGCATAATGGCGACAAATCTCAATGTATACTTCCTGGTTTCAAATTGCCCTTGAACGGTATATTACGAAACTGCCCAGTAGTTCAGGGAAATCGCAGAGAAATGGGAAAGGGCTACAAAAATGTTTCTGTAGCATATCAACGGGTTGAAGGGTGAATAATTACTGTACTTCACGACACATCACGATAAGTCATATGACCTAGATATCTAGGTTACGTTTACCATGTTGCGCAGCATTTATGAAAGGAAGCTACTCTAAAGTCACAATAGTGGAAATATTACCAAGGGAAGTCAATTACGTTTACTTTATCAACATATGAACAAAGCAAAAGACTCAACGTATTTCCTGACCTGGATTCAAATCATCCGCTTCCACATGGGAGTAGTGTTGTTAATTCTTGAGCTGGATAATCGAGATTATAAGTAATATGTAGATCAAGATAGCTCTCCTCGAGTGGATCTGGACCAAACACAATTGTATTATTCATGTGATGAAATGATTTGTTTGGTATTTTTTCTGTTTAAAATGTTTTGTCATATCGACTCTGTTTTATAGATATAGGGTATTTATTCACGCATATATTGTCAGTTGGCGATGTGCGCGTAACTGTATGTTACAATCGCAGAGGAACAACGAATCGCCACATCATCATGTAGAAACTATTTATTTCAATTAACATGAGTGGGACACAACGTGCAAGACAAAACTGGATGATTTTTTTCCAAGTTCTTTCTTTACTGATTTGGAGATTGTTATGGGTGATGAAACATATTTCGCAAATATAATGTACAGTTTTAGATAGTGATGAGTATACTTGGTGTAATTAGTTTTAGCTTGGGGTGAGGGGCCTTCGCTTGGGCGAGACATTGTTATGTAACTAGTGGTACAGCTTGGGGTTGATGAATTCAGCTTTGGTCAGTTAACTGAATGTGGCCAAGCCAGCTTATAGGGAGAAGCTCGGTGATTCTGATCTAGTTGGGGTGTTTCTTGAAGACGGGATTTTTGCCAGTTGTGGTTGTACCTATAATGTGAATTCACAAACTTGCACCCACGTCGGGACTGTGTCAGATATGGAAACTAGGAAATCATGGTGTACAGGAAGGATTTAAAAATGAGGTGACTATGCCATATTGCTTTGCCCATAATATATCTAAGACAATTCCCTCTTCACTTTCCACATTTGTAAATTGGTAAACTGTATCAGCCTTCTGTGAGGATAGTATAAATAAATCTTCCTCAATTAGTCAGATTGTTGTGTGATCCATTTTCATTGTTACGGGTGAATTGGTGTCATATACCCCTTTATCATACCTTCACTCGTAACAAGATGAATATTTATTTTACCTAAATGGACTTATGTGGTAACTGCATGGGGAATATTTGAAACAATTTTCAATACTGTGTTACTATACCATAAAATTGATTTATGGTAGATCTGATCTATTTATTCTGTACCACTGTAACTGAAGACCTTTTTAAGGAGAACATATTATCTGATTAACATAACAGGATTCACAATACAGCAAACAATTAACCTAAATAAATAACGAACACCTGGAGTGCAGTTCATAAAAAAATATTCTGAAATGGTGTCTTAAAAGTCCAATAACAATAGACACATTCACAATAGCTTCCAACTGTAACACTGATGAATAACAATAAAATTTTCAGAGGATGCAAATTGAAAATATATTGAGTACAATATTTATGTTGATAGAAATATCTTTTTAGATTAATCTGACATGAATGACAACAATTACAGCTGGGCCAATTCATAATTTATCAGTTTTCTCCCCTTACACATTCTCATATCTCTTACCTATGAATGACTTTTTTTCTGATTTCCAACTTACTCTTTTCAAACAGGATGAAATACATTCTTTTTCATCAATTATTAATTGAACAACAGCAAATGAGTTACATCTACAACTATGCCATTATGAAAGACCTTTGTATTATTCAGCTAAATCCATCAATGTGTATGTACTGAGTCAAAAAAGAAACTTCACATTCTTTCTTCAGGGCACTATAAAAGAACAAGAGATGGTAAGATGGTTAAATTGTTATTATTTCATTGCTGAGATCTGTGTGATATACATCGATACACTGACAGTGCGATAATCAGTTTCATTAGGCTACACCGCCGTTCCAAAACATGTGTATACAGAATGTCAAGTCTCAAGAATAAAAATGCGAAATTTCTCAGTCTCCTCATCGACAGCCTGATGCTTGTGAACACGTGGTTGGGGATTGTGCGCCATTGTTCTTGCAAGGCAGCTCCAAGTTCCTGCAAATTCTGAGGTTGGTTCCTAAGACCACGAAGCCTTCTCCCAAGAGCATCCCAAACGTGCTCTATTGGATTAAGGTCAGGGGACCTCGATGGCCAGTCCATGACGTTGATTCCAGCGTTTTGAAGGAAATTTCGTGTCAACATCGCGGTATGCGGCCGAGCATTATCATGCTGGAACTGTAGACCTGGGCCATGAGCCGCCATGAAAGGAACGAGTTCAGGAGTGAGCACCTGGTCGCGGTAAGCAGCAGCTGTGAGGTTTCCACGGATGACCAAAGTCGGGAACGGTTGTTCCCACAGAAGCACCCACACCATGCACCTTCCGCCCCCGAATCTGTCGACTTCCTGTACACAACATTGGGCATACCGTTCACGACGTCGTCTTCAGACTCTATGCCTGCCGTCCGCGAAACTGAGGGTAAACCTGGATTCATCGCTAAAGACGACTCGATTCCAGTCTCTCTGGGTCCATCGGAGGTAACATTGGGCCCACAGCAGACGTTGACGTTGATGAAACGGCGTCAATATTGGCCCACGATATGGACGTCGAGAATGGAGATTGGCAGCCCGCAACCGATTTCGAATGGTCTGTGAGGACAGTCGACCTCTAAACATCTCAGCCCTGGTTCGTGTAGCTGGCAGAAATCTGTCACGTAGGTGACGTAGGACGATTTGACGGTCTTCTGCTCGTGACGTCACACGTGAACGACCAGACCTTTGGCAATCAGACGTGGTGCCAGTTTGTTGTAGACGACCTCGCAAGTCATACACAGTACGACGGCTGCATCCCATTGCTCTTGCGACGTCAATAACTGATCTTCCCGCTTGCAACATGCCAACGGCACGTTCACGTTGCACATTTGATAATCGTGGCATTTCAAGTACCGTTAGAACTGTGGTTTAAAAGTGTGTTTTTTAATTCTTGAGGCCAATGCAAACACGTGCATATGAAGGAAACTTCGATGCGAAGATCGACTGCACGTGCAAAACCTGATTTGGCACTAACGTCATTTGCACGACGAATGGATTGGTTTGAGTGGGTTTTGCTAACGTTTTTCTTGAGTCGAAAGATAGGGATCCCATTTCGGATACATAGATGTATCATCAGAGAAAAATTGTTCATTTTTTTTCAAATTACATTTTGTGAAGTTTCTTTTTTGACTCAGTATATTACAGCTGTCTCTTTTTTGTATCCATCATTTACACAACACAAAAGCACCAAACAATTTCATTTACATTCATGTCTGTCAATTCTTGTGCTGTCTGGGCAAGGTACTGGGAAGATATTCAACAAATGAAAGAGTTCCAGCTAATCAGTGCCAATGTTTGAAATGATGAATACTGTAAAATGTTCAATCAATTTTTATCCAAACTTTTCAAGTTCAAGTTTTCTGGTCAATTTTGTTATTTTGTCAACCTTTTCCTTGACTTGCCTCCCCTGTTCACGTAAGATTTGCTTGAGTTGTTCTATGTAGGACTGGGGGTCAGTGGCTGCTGTATCACTCTCTGCTTCACTGTAATATAAGCATTGTAAAGCATCACTAGTATCTCTTCAACCACACAAACAATAAATATATCTCTGGAATTACAAATATACATCAAGGAATAGAAGCTAACATCATTTCATATTTTAGACAGTATGGGCAATCAATATTTTTATATGTAAATAACATAGCAGATAGGTCAAAGTTCAGTTGTAATAAATTCTTTAAAACCATGTCAGTTGGCAAAATTAACTTAATACGATCTGACATTCTTACTGTATCTGAGATGGTGACTGTGGTAGATTCCTTATGGAAGGTTCCTGAGCTGGTGACATGATGTCTGACTGCTGACATGCAGCATCTGAAATGGATATTTAAACACTAAATATATTTCAGTATGTGTCCAGTAATATGTCCTGTATCCCTGAAGTATTGGTCCGTATGCAGTAATTTTGAAAGTACATATTTAAGATTTTTTTTAACAGCATGTGTGTGTCCTGCATATACATGTAGAATCTACTTGAAATGTTACTTTGATTTGCAGCCAATCTAATTTCACTGATACAAAATATTTGCAAATAAAATTTCCTTGCCATCATGACAAGAGTGTCTCCATATGTCCATATGCTTTAAAAAAAATAATATAATGGACCGTTCATAATTTATGACTAGGGGGTGATGATGATTTTAGGTGCGGTGTTTGTGGGGGTTGGGGTGTCTCCTAGTTTGTTTTGGGAGGCAGGGGGATGGGTCAATTGTGTACATATGAACTAGTGGGGTGGTCACTGATTTTGAACATGACAATGTGTGTGTGGGGGTTTTGTATTGTGTGTGTGTGTGTGTGTGTGTGTGTGTGTGTGTGTGTGTGTGTGTGTGTGTGTGTGTGACATTCATTGTACATGTGCCCTAATATTAAAAACCTTGCATAGTGAACAGTTTGTACATTTCACGACAGATCTAGACTATGCCATGTGCCGTAATTATTTTGTCCTTACTATGAATCATTTTCGAGGATCTCTCCGTATTTTCGTCAACCACTGCCTTCTTATGATCTTATTCTTGGGAATATGGTGAAAAGATACCGTAAAGTCCTTACGGGCATCACTCCAACGCAAAGGCACACATCAGTAATCTTTCCTTTTCGAGGTCGCCATTTTCAAGGTTGGGTCAACCTATTTAAGCCTCCCTTTCGATTTCACCTCGAGGACATGCATATTGGCTAAGAATGGTCTATATCAAACGTTTCTCTCAGGTGATAAGTGGTCTTGCAGCTCCCTATATTAAAAGTACGCATCATGTGTTAAGTGGACTTTCAGCTCCCTATATTAAACGTTTGTCTGAGTTGTAAAGTGAACTTGTAGCTCTCTATATTAAACGTTCACTTCAGGTGTAAAGTGAACTTGTAGCTCTCTAGAACCAACGTTTGTCTCAGGTGTAAAGTGAACTTGTAGCTCTCTATATTAAAAGTTCGCCTCAGGTGTAAAGTGAACTTGTACCACTTTAGAATCAACGTTTGTCTGAACTGTAAAGTGAACTTGTAGCTCTCTATATGAAACGTTCGCCTCAGGTGTAAAGTGAACTTGTAGCTCTCTAGAACCAACGTTTGTCTCAGGTGTAAAGTGGACTTTCAGCTCCCTATATTAAACGTTTGTCTGAGTTGTAAAGTGAACTTGTAGCTCTCTATATTAAACGTTCACTTCAGGTGTAAAGTGAACTTGTAGCTCTCTAGAACCAACGTTTGTCTCAGGTGTAAAGTGAACTTGTAGCTCTCTATATTAAAAGTTCGCCTCAGGTGTAAAGTGAACTTGTACCACTTTAGAATCAACGTTTGTCTGAACTGTAAAGTGAACTTGTAGCTCTCTATATGAAACGTTCGCCTCAGGTGTAAAGTGAACTTGTAGCTCTCTAGAATCAACGTTTGTCTCAGGTGTAAAGTGAACTTGTAGCTCTCTATATTAAACGTTCGCCTCAGGTGTAAAGTGAACTTGTAGCTCTCTAGAATCAACGTTTGTCTCAAATGTAAAGTGAACGTGTAGCTCTCTAGCGTCAACGATTGTCTCAGGTGTAAAGTGAACTTGTAGCTCTCTAGAATTAATGTTTGTCTCAGGTGTAAAGTGAACTTGTAGCTCTCTAGAATTAATGTTTGTCTCAGGTGTAAAGTGAACTTGTAGCTCTCTAGAATCAACGTTTGTCTCAGATGTAAAGTGAACGTGTAGATTTCTAGAGTCAACGATTGTCTCAGATGTAAAGTGAACTTATAGCTCTCTGGAACCAACGTTTGTCTCAGTTGTAAAGTGAACTTGTAGCTCTCTAGAATCAACGTTTGTCTCAGGTTTAAAAGTGAACTTATAGCTCTCTGGAATAAACGTCTGTCTCAGGTCTCAGGTGTAAAGTGAACTTGTAGCTCTCTAGAATCAACGATTGTCTCAGTTATAAAGTGAACTTGTAGCTCTCTAGAATCAACATTTGCCTCAGGTGTAAAGTGAACTTGTAGCACTCTAGAATCAACGTTTGTCTCAGGTTTAAAAGTGAACTTATAGCGAATAAACGTCTGTCTCAGGTCTCAGGTGTAAAGTGAACTTGTAGCTCTCTAGAACCAACGTTTGTCTCAGTTGTAAAGTGAACTTGTAGCTCTCTAGAATCAATGTTTGTCTGAGTTGTAAAGTGACCTTGTAGCTCTCTAGAATCAACGTTTGTCTCAGTTGTAAAGTGAACTTGTAGCTCTCTAGAATCAACGTTTGTTTTAGTTGTAAAGTGAACTTGTAGCTCTCTAGAATCAACGTTTGTCTCAGTTATAAAGTGAACTTGTAGCTCTCTAGAATCAATGTTTGTCTGAGTTGTAAAGTGAACTTGTAGCTCTCTAGAATCAACGTTTGTCTCAGTTATAAAGTGAAATTGTAGCTCTCTAGAATCAACGTTTGTTTTAGTTGTAATGTGAACTTGTGGCTCTCTAGAACCAACGTTTGTCTCAGTTGTAAAGTGAACTTGTAGCTCTCTAGAATCAATGTTTGTCTGAGTTGTAAAGTGAACTTGTAGCTCTCTAGAATCAACGATTGTCTCAGTTGTAAAGTGAACTTGTAGCTCTCTAGAATCAACGTTTGTTTTAGTTGTAAAGTGAACTTGTAGCTCTCTAGAATCAACGTTTGTCTCAGTTATAAAGTGAACTTGTAGCTCTCTAGAATCAATGTTTGTTTGAGTTGTAAAGTGAACTTGTAGCTCTCTAGAATCAACGTTTGTCTCAGTTATAAAGTGAACTTGTAGCTCTCTAGAATCAACGTTTGTTTTAGTTGTAATGTGAACTTGTGGCTCTCTAGAACCAACGTTTGTCTCAGTTATAAAGTGAACTTGTAGCTCTCTAGAATCAACGTTTGTTTTAGTTGTAATGTGAACTTGTGGCTCTCTAGAACCAACGTTTGTCTCAGTTGTAAAGTGAACTTGTAGCTCTCTAGAATCAATGTTTGTCTCAGTTGTAAAGTGAACTTGTAGCTCTCTAGAATCAACGATTGTCTCAGTTGTAAAGTGAACTTGTAGCTCTCTAGAACCAACGTTCGCCTCAGGTGTAAAGTGAACTTGTAGCTCTCTAGAATCAACGTTTGTCTCAGTTGTAAAGTGAACTTGTAGCTATCTAGAACCAACGTTTGTCTCAGTTGTAAAGTGAACTTGTAGCTCTCTAGCATCAACGATTGTCTCAGTTGTAAAGTGAACTTGTAGCTCTCTAGAACCAACGTTTGTTTTAGTTATAAAGTGATCTTGTAGCTCTCTCGAATCAACATTTGTCTCAGGTGTAAAGTGAACATGTAGCTCTAGAACCAACGTTTGTCTAAGGTGAAAGTGAACTTGTAGCTCTCTAGAATCAACGCTTGTCTCAGTTATAAAGTGAAGTTGTAACCCTCTAGGATCCACGGTTGTCTCAGTTGTAATGTGAACTTGTAGCTCTCTAGAATCAACGTTTGTCTCAGGTGTAAAGTGAACTTGTAGCTCTCTAGAATCAACGTTTGTCTCAGTTGTAAGGTGAAGTTGTAGCTCTAGAATCAACGTTTGTCTCAGTAGTAAATTGAACGTGAAGCTCCTTTATTTAAATTTTGTCACAGGTGTAATGTGTACTTGTAGATCCCCATATTGAACGTTAATCTCAGATGTAATGTGAAGTTGTGGATTAATTTATTTAGCATTAGTCTCAGGTATAAAGTCAACATATAGCTCCCCAAATGTAGAGTTTTAGGTGTAAAGTGAACTTACAGCTCCATATCAGGGGTGGAAATAACCCATTGCCCGACGTCCGAGTCCAGTGTTTCTTTCTGTCGGGCAAGCAAATTTGTATATCACACTGTACCGGTGTCCACTTGACTTTCCAATGTTAATTATGTTGTTTACTTAAAAAATAAACCAGAAGACAGCCAGTATAGTGGAAATATTATCAGGGCAAGTGATTTTACACGTGCCACTGTACCGGAGTACACTAGCAATTTTAAAGTTATTTCCACCCCTGCCTATATTTATTTCATTCATTCATTCATTCATTCAGAGGCTGTAAGGTTTAATCCAGCACCTTATTGTGAGCGTTGGTCTAACATAACGTATAAGATCATATTGTTATGACAACGATTGTCACTACAGTGACGTACGTACATAGCACATTGAGTGCTGTCCAGCCCATTCCATGGAGTGCATAAGAAAAATACGAAAAATACCGACCATTACCTTGCACACAGACAGACTTTCCAGATCGAGTCTTCAAACATCGTTGCCCGAAATTGCATATCTTGGATGAACACGAACCAGTCGGAACCTTCAAACAGGAGAAAGAAGTCTTAGGTTGTGTTTTTATTTATACCTCATGTATCATAATAATCTATCCTGTTTATGTTTAGTTCAAACACCATAATTTTATAATCGTTGGCGTTGTTGAGAGTGTTTATTGGTGATATAAACACAACAGACTAAGCGTGTACTCCAGTGACCACCATGTTTACATACAAGGATAGAAACTTTGGTCTAGAAACAGCAATTCCTCTCTAGAACTGATTGTTTATCCCTCCTCTTGCTTGTGTTTCTCTTTTCTCAAAAACGCCTCGGCAAAACAAGAGGGTGTCACTAAGATGTTTTACTTGCTTATGGTACTGTCATTGGATACAGAACAATATCTTCTCGATTACCAGATCACAGCTTAAATTGTACAGCCGAAGCAAACGCCGTATTAACAGCCTTAAAATATATATTTTTAAAAACCTCAAAATATAATCTTTTTGGACTCTTTTTCGTGATATTATAGATATATCCTGTAAACATCCACATTCAAGTATTTTCAGTTATTGAA